ATTGATTCAGGACATTGAGGCAGCGCCAACAAGCGCAACTAAAAAACTCACGAAAGGAGGCTTCCAGAACTGCTTCAGAAAGTGGCAAGAACAGTGGGACAAGTGTGTTGGAAGCAAGGAAGGACATTCTGAGGGGGATTAGTGGTAATGTGTCTTTTTTTGTAAAGATTAAGAATGAAGACACGCGGCAATGTGTCTTTGACTGTAGTATTTTTATTTGCATGCACCATATTTTTTGATCATTCTCATAAGTGGTGGTGACTCGCCCAATGAACAGGGCACGCCTGCGGCCTCTGTGCATGAGCTGTCAGCCTCCAGGTTTGTCCCTCGTCTCTTCCCTTCTCTCCAGACTCTGCTGAATGTCAGCTTCCCAAGCTCTCCTGTCACCACCCTGTGTGTGGCCTTCATCTCTTTCTCTGGCTGGCCCTTCTGCAGAGAGCAGGCAGAACTGTTCACCACCCGCTTCCCTCAGGAGGCCCTCGGTAGCCGCTCTCATCAAAGGCTTTGCCACCTCACTCAGTCCTCTCCTGTCTGTCAGGGACCCTGCCGCAGGCCTTTGCACTTGCTCTTCCAGTCACACGAAAGCCCATCCCCTTTGCTACAGCCCTCTCTGGCCAGGTCCAGCTTTGCTCTTCAGAATGAAGGCAAGCTGCTCATCCCCATCCGAGCCTAGAGAGGCCCTTGTATCATGGTATCATGGCACCCTGTGCATCTCCTTCCTTCTGCACATTTAGCATTTATCACAATCATGATTCCACAGTCAGCCATGAAAGGATTCTTTGTAAACATATATTTCCCTTATACAGCACAAGACTCCATGTGGATGGAGTGTGTGTGTGTGTGTGTGTGTGTGTGTGTGTGGTGATGCCCCGTGAGAATCTCTCAGGAGATGTCTTGAAGGCTCCTTCCCGCGACCTTGTTGGTTCTTGCGGCAGGCTCGTCTGTCAGGCGAGGTGGTAGCACCTTCTCCGCAGGACGGTGGGAAGGGTAATTGGTTTCTGTGTGTAAAGTGTGAGTGTCGTGTTGGAAAGGCCATGTATGAGTTACCATCTTTGCTAAGGACCTGAAGGCTCCCAGGGAGTGACCACGTCTTGTATAACTCCTTCCATGTCTTAGATTTGCGTCTACTCCCTCCTCCCTTCCCCAAACCCCATTCTGGAGTAACTGGAAAATCCCCTTCCCCTTCTTGAGCAGGACAGGGCCTCAGGAGCCCACCTCACCACCCAAAAGACTGTGGAGAGGTTCTCCCCAGGAAATCCAGTGCTCTTCGTCCAGGGGCCCTGACACAAACTGTTACCAACACTCTCCGTGCCTGGTGGGATCAGAGCAGGATTGTCAGTGCCGAAGGCAGATCAGGAACTTAGACAAGCAGGTGCTTGATGTTTGCAGAGCGAATGAATGGGATGAGATATAAATGTCCTTTCATTCATTTCCAGTCATTTGCCATACAGGTATTACATGCAGATAGCTTCAAACTGTGTTTTTAGATCCAGGGATGAAACACACCCTAGCCTTCCAGGCCAGCTTGCAGTTTAACAGGGGTGGGAACACAAGAGCAAGTGCTTTCTTTAAGGGAGAAAGATAAAGTGTGGGGAAGCTTTATTTTCCTCTGCCCTTCGCTATTGAAGAAGCCTTACATTCACAGTGTCCTTTTATTTGAAAGTGAGAAGGGGAAGGATCCTCCTCAAACTCTAGACTGAAAACACACTGGAAGGAAAACATCTGTCAGTACTACAGAAAGGGGTGTGGTGAGACGCTGGCAGCTCTAACGCAGCAATGACAACTTCACCTTCAAATTGAAGGACACACCCTGAAATAGTATTTCTCTGAGGACCACACTATGTCTAACTCTAGAGGCGCTGAGCGTTCTGTTCAGGGTGCTACATCTCAGCTCAGACCTTCTCTGGTATCTATAGGAAAGATATTTTTAAGTCTGAAAAGAAATTGAGAAATTCAAAACAGGGACAAATGAGAGCCACACTATCACTTTTTCAAAATGTCCTGCTATCTTTTCAAGTAACAAAATCCTTGCTGTTGTCTTAGACAACAAAAATGACAAATGACAAAAAGACAAAAATGTGTACATATTCCTGTATTTACCTCCCTTTTCCCTTGCCAAACCGTGGACTATTATGAAAGGTCCCGTCTTCAGCGACGCAAACAACCAGTGAAAAAAGAAAAAGAAAGCTCAGTCATCCTCCGAGCTGATAATGATATCCTTTGTCTATCACCTCCCGTGATATAGTAATACTCCTGTTGCCAGGAGCAACAGTGTGTCAAGAAATTCCATCCCTTAATGATAGAATAAAATTTCTGGTAAAAGCACTTGATTAGCAAATCCGATCTCTTTTGCCGTCTAAGCAAGAGATTTATTTTTTAACAAATAAGTCTTTTCATGCTGTCATTCCTGAAAACAGTTTTCTAATAATGTTGCTCCCGTTTCAAGTATTAATGTGCAATATCTGTTAGCTAGGTTGTTTAAGAGCCCTTCACATGGTACTTTCTGAACACAATTTGAAGAACAGTTTCCAGTTAAATAAGTAGGACATAAGAACAAACAGCAGCTATGTGTTTCATAGGATTCTGTGCTCAGGTCGTATTGCTAAAGCCACGTGAATCACCCCACGTAGAGATGGGAAGAGGGTAGCATTTGAATCCTCATGGCTACCCCCACTGCACTGGCTTCAATAGTGGAAGAAATGAAAGTTAAATCTAATCTGCATTACTTTTCACGATGCTGTCGATAGTAGCCACCCAGAAAGGGACATTGATCGTCATCAGCTTGAGGAAGACCCCTGAATCCACTTCCGATTCTTCTGTGTCCCCAGCCACCCTCTGATCCACCACACCATAAGCCTTGTACTACTTTTCTCCGAGAGCAGTGTGGACAGCACCCCCTCCAGGTCCCCTCTGCTAGAGTACAGTAGAGAAAGGCAATACTGTATTATGAAACCATTTGGATTCCTCCTGCTTGGAATCTGGAGTCAGCAGGGTATGCTGGAAGAAACGGGAGCTACAGGGCGAATCTTGGACCTAACATGCTCTGCACTGACCTTCGTCAGCAATTACTACCCACACCATTGGTAGCACACAGAGGAGCAAAGGCTGCCCTGTGCTGTGCCTGGTGCCCCGAGTTGTTCTGGGACCACCTTAAAACTGCAGGTGGTCACTTGATGGTTGGTTACTTTTCCAGAACAGTTTCATGGCTCAAGGACCTCCACCTTGGAAAACTTCCTCACACTTTAAAAACAATTAAAGACACAAACACAATAAACAACAGATAACACCACTCAGTACTTAGTTTGGTAATTAATGCCTTGTGCTTAGTCACTTTGGGAGACCACAGGGACAGTAATAAGAGAAGAGATGAGATGGGAAAAGACTCAGAGGACACACCTTGACCCCTGTCTTGGAAGAGTGTGAGACACATATCTGAGACCCATCAACATCCAAAAAGTATATGCTTAATTTTTTAAAAATCTATCTTCATTAAACATTTCCTATACTAAGAATCGCTTGGCAAGACCAAGTTTACAGTGAAACATGAGGTGGTTTACTATTTGAGAAGCTATGTAATCTTTTATGGCAGCACTGAATTCTGTCTTCCTGACTGGTTAGGTGGGGTGTATTTACCAGCAAGAAAGAATTGCTAAATGAGAACCCCAAGTCAATTGTGTTTTGGGAAGCTATGGTGAAAATTACCGGTTTAAGTCTGTGCCTTAGGGATTAATGGGTTAGCGATTTAATATCAACTATAACACCCAGGAGAAACACTCTCTCTAGTAATGCAGTAAGTCAACCTGATTTCTCACCTTCAGGGCTAAGATGATCCCCAAGCTTGAGGGGAAACTTCTCACACATTCACAGAGTGAGCAAACTCAGAAATGGAAGATGCAAAAGAGAATATATTTTATAATATTAAATATATTTTATTTCTGGAAATCCTTCGCTGTTCTCTGATACTGTGTGAGGGGGATCCGCCAGATAGATCCAGGCTCTCCTGTACGGTGAGCAGTGACTGTCAAGTGTACACCCCATGGTAAGAGAAGAAACAGCTACATTTATTGTAGGTAACGGGGAGACGCACCCACGGCAGCTCTGAACAGAAAAGTGGTGTTGGGGCAACACAAAAATAAAAGCACAGCACACACAGATACATCAGGCTTTCTGTGACCCAATCCCAGAGGCCCCTGGTTGGATCTCGGGGTGAGAGTGTCAGGAGTGACTGGGTGCTGTGTCTCCCAAGTCTTCCCAGACTTCATTCTGATTAAATTAGATGCATGAGATGCAGTCCACCTTTATGAACCTTTAACAAAGTTTGAAGGAGTGAAAGGTCGCTGAAGGTCGGGTCAGGAGCTCTAACAGGAGTGTGCCGCAGGAGTGCAGCGCTGGAGATTTCCGGGGTTTGTGCTGTTCTCTGTGCTGCCTCTCTGAGAATGGTGGAAGGAGGATGGGCCCTGGTACTGCGCAAACGCAAGCCTCCCCGCCTGCCTTGCGCTGCCTGTACTCCTGCTGCAGTTCCTGGTACCCACTTGATGCTGCTTTTCCTGGACACTGTTCACCCTCAGAGTTCAAGCTTACAGCTTGGTTCCCTGGGAGGAATCCAACCCCGCCCCACCCTCACCGCCACATTCAGCAGCTCATTCGCGCTCATTTCTCAATCTTGCTGTTGACACATTACTCTCCTCCCGATATTGTCTTTCTCTCAGCGGCGGCGACAGCACCCAGAGTCTCTGTGTCTTCTGTATTCTGCCCAGCAACAGCACCTAGCTGATAGGAGGACTTAGAAACGTCCAGGACCGGCCAGGGATGTAGCTCAGTGGCACAGCGCCTGCCTGGCAAGTGCGAGGTCCTGAGTTCAATTCCCAGTGCCCCCAGAAAAGAAATGATTAGGAACTGAATGTGATAGTAGAACCCCAGAGACCCTCTTGGGAGGTGGCTTGCTTTAGAAACACACATGGACAACCTTCATCAGATAATCTTGTCTTTCCTCAACCTAGGTTCAGGGGACTTTGACCCTTCCATGCTGTTGGACCCTGGAGACATCATAGATCCAGAATCTGATTATGAAGACCAGGTAATTAAAATCTAAAAATATTTCTCTACTTGGGTGCTTTTAATTTTAGATTTTATAAATGTTTTATGAATATTAAGATTATAAATCATTCTGTGAAATCTTTACAGACAACGGATAATATAATTCATGAGACGCTGTAGTAACCTACAGATTTCTTGCACTGTTTGGTTCTTCTGCCCTCCCTTATTCACAGATCCAAAATTAATTCATTAACAGTTCGTTGCTGGGTGTGGTGGCACACACCCATAATTCCAGCAGTTGGGATGCTGAGGCAGGAGGACTGTCATGAGTTTGAGGCCAGCCTGGGCTACAAAGTGAGTTTAAGGCCAGCCTGAACTCACTACATTGCAAGACCCTGTCTCAAAAAACACCGTTCAAAAATAGTTAATTTAGGTAATCAAGGAAAGGTTTGTGGCCAAAAGTTATTTAGTATAGAAATATTGCCAAGAATTTGCCATATATCCTTGCCTCCCACTAGTAAACTAAGAATACATACCAAGCACCAGCTACACACTCAGGGCTCTGCTATTCTATTTTTAACCCTTGCAAGGGAATGAGGATCAAGAGAACACAGCCAGGGACTTAAATATATGTTCTCTTTGAATAAAACTGAAGACAGTTATCTGGGTCATTTTCCTGTCCCTATTGTCATGGGGTTTTTTAGTTGTTTTTTAATTTTTTAATTTATTTTATTTTATTTTAAAGATAAAAGAATGAAAACATGTTAACAGACATTTACAAAATAACGCAAAAACAATACAAACAATGCAGAATTTCAGACAAGGTGATAGGAAATTAACAGTGGTTGTTGTGTTACATATTGATATCTTCAAACTGGTTACTGTCATATTTTAATGATCCAAAATAGTTAGCAAATGATCCCACTCCCTGCTTGGGCTTCATTGTTAACGAAGGGTGTCAGAAAGCTCCTCCAAATCACCGTGCCCCTCAGCCACGGCTGACAGCCGAGCCAGCATGCTGTGGGGGGCAGTTCATGTCGCAAATAAGCAGATATGGCCAGTGTCCATGCATGATGGCTGGGCATACATTTCATATGTTTATTCAGTCACTATTTTATGAGCATTGAGTTTCTTCCTTATATCACAAAACAGGAAGAAGATAGAAGCCAGGGCTTGGGGTAGCTCAGTGGCAGAGTGCTTGCCCAGCCTCCACAAGGCCCTGGGTTTGATTCCAGCACTACAAAAACAGAAAAAGTAAGAGGTAGAACTTGCGATCACACTCAGCCATCTGACCTCAGTCAGAGCCAGGGTCAAGATCGATGGGATGGACCACTGATGGCGAACCTTTTAGAGCTCTCAGTGATAACAAACAGCCGGCTGCAGCACAGGGGCCATGGCTTCCCCTCCTCTGGGCCAGACTGTGCTGGCGTCCTCGGATAGGGTAGGGACCAGCAGTGTTTTCCAGGTTCTTGCTTGTCCCGATCAATGAATTGAGCAGAACAGTCGGTGAATGTGAAAGATTACCATTTATTTTAGGGCAGAAATAAGAAAAGGGAAAAGAGGAAGAAGCACAAAAGAAATGCTTAGGAAGAGAACGGTGCTTTGAAGGAAAAAGAGAGAAGATGCATCCTGCCAGCAGGATGGTCACTCCAAGAACAAGAGGGCAGTGCCCCCAAGGTCCATTGCTGCTGTCTTTTTAGGCCTAAACTGCCCGGCCTGGGCTCAAACTTGCACTCTGCTTGCCTCAGCCTCCCAGAATGCTGGGATTATGGGTATGCACCACCACGCCTAGCTATGCCCTTTTATAAAGAACCTCCAAAAGGATCATGGGTAGGGAGAAGATCCTGAAGAAGGAACCTCTGCTCTTATTTGCATATGACCTCTTTCATATTTGCATATGACCTCATCTCACATCCTGGTCATTGGCTCCATCTAGATGCCAGGAAGAGGAAAATGGAGCTTCTTTGTGTGCCCAGAAAGGGAGAGGTGATGCCAGCCTCAGCCGAAAGGCTCCTGCTCTGCCCATGGGCTGCAGCACAGCCCTCCATGTGGCCATTCTCTCCTACTCTCTGCTCACATTCCTGAACCCCTCACTGGTCCATTATTGATACATGAGTGCCCCCCAGCATCTACTGTGGCCCCTTGCTCCTCACCACATGGGTTCTCCTTTGCAAAGCTTGGAGCGGCCAAGGTTTCAGCTTCCTAGAGCTCCCTGGAGAGCCCTTGTTGCACATGTCTGCCTGCTGAGCAGCACTGGCTGGATTTCCCATGAGCGTTGCCACAAAACATGTCCAAAACCCAGTGCACAATCTTCCCCCACAAAACCTGCTCCTCCTTCTGCCTCCTCTATTTCTGTGAATGATCACCATCACCCCCGCTGCCCAAGCCAGAAGCAAGGTGTGTTCCCAGCCCGCTTCTTTCCCTCCTTCCCTACATCAGCGAGGTCAGGACACTCGTCAGTTCTCCTGGCCAGGCATGGTCCCCTCCTCTCCCGTTCCACTGCCCCTGCCTGGTTCATGTCCTCAGTCCCTCTCTGGGACCACAGGGACAGCCTCCCAATCTAGCTCCCTGGCCCTGGTCTCATCTGCCAACATGATCTTTGTGAAATCGGTTCAGTCGTGGAGATGCACTGCTTATAACTCTTCTTGGCTCCCCATTGATTTCACAGTTAAAAGAGAACCTGTTGGCATAACACGTGGAAACTCCCAAATCAGAATCAGACCCCTTCATTCCTCTCCAGACTCATCCCTTGCCAATCAGCAGAACACACTGACTGCTCCACCCACAGTGATCCATTTGCCCTTCCTTCTAGCGGGCTGTGCTGTGGGTCCTTTCCCTCTGAAGCAAAACTTCCAGCACCCCTTTCCTTCATCTGGGACTGCCCCCAGTCCACCATTGGGACCAGACACTCCCCCATACGCTGTTAGCCTGTTTTGCGGCCACATGATACCTGTATTGCAATACTCGACTGCATTCCATGGACTGCACCCCGCTCTGTGTGACGTCAGTGCCTGCTGCACAGCTTGGAATGTGGCAGATGCTCAAGAATACCCACCGTTTTTAAATCCAAGACAAGGAATTCTTTTACTTATGAGTGATTGGGGGGGATAACATCTAAACTTCCTCTGAGCTTCAGTTTCCTCTTCTAGGAAATACTGACAACCCTTCTTAAAAGAACTGCTATTTGAGGCAGGGCGTGCAGGGTATCTCAAAAGGAGCAAATTCTCAAAATCAGGAGTCCTCAACAGGGAGATCTTTTGCTAATGGGAAGGGGAACAAGAGATGGAGGGAGGGGGAAGGAGGAGAGGGGAAGGTGATGCAAAAAGAATTAAGATGTGTTTCAACATGCACAACTCCCAAGGAATGTAATCGTTATGTACTACAGCCCCGGACTAGTAGAAAAACTAAAATTAAAAAAAGAATAGGAGACCTCCCCTTTGCCCCCAGACCTGACTTCCACCGGACTTCTCAGGTATCAGGGATCCTCCAGAGCTGATTCTTTTTTTCTAACTATATATATATAATTTTTTTTATTTTTTATTAGTACATATTTATGGTACATAATGATTGCATTCATCCTGAGGAATCTCCTGACTTCTTCTATCACATATATATTTTTCTTATATAAGAAACTGTGGTATTAAAGCTGATTTATTTCACTTAACATAGTGGTCTCAAAGTGCATCCATTTTCCTACAAACTCAATATTCCCTTCTTTGTGGCAGAGCAGTACTCTATTGGGTATAGATACCACATTTTCTTTATCCGTGCTCCTGTTGAGGGCTAGAGAGGCCCATAGCTGACTTCTTCAGCTCAGTAAGTGCTACTTGTCTGAGCTCTTCCCATTTCTGCGCTGTCAGATGAGGAGCTTAGAGGTTGCCACTCTTTCCTAACAGCACGTAAGAAGCTCAGCAAACTGAAAAATCAACCTTCTTGCACCCGTGAGAGAAGTAAGAGCACAGGACCAACCACTACTCCAAAACTTGGAGAGCAGATGGGCAAATCTAGAAAACCACTGCTTACCTTCACAGAAATCCCCACAGGAGCCAGTGCCAGGTGGAAAAAATGAACAAGGGCAATTGCTGGGGACTTGGTGTAGATGAGTCTCAGAGGAACCCAGGCTGAGGGAGGCCCCACACCCTTGTGACCATCACCATGCAAAGAGAGCAATGTCAGGTTCTCACATTGAGTATCAGAAAAAATCCCCCCAGGTTTCGAAGGGGGAGGAAGAAAACCACTGAAATATGCCGGGCATTCTGTTCTTCTTCACAAGGCCTGAAGAACTCTCCTACCAGAGGCAGACACCGGGAGGAGCAGAAAAGGCCCAAGGCCTTCCCCATCTAGTTGCCCTGTCTCATCCAAAGGGATAAAAAAACAAGAACCACCAGTGACAGTCACAGTTCTGTGACCCAGACTCACCAAAAGGCTGAGACCCAGTGCTGTTCTGCAGTTCCTTTGCCCGTGTACATCATGCCCATCCATTAAGAGGAAACAATAAAGCATAGCACGGGACCAGACACAGTGTGGCTACAGAGAACAAACGTCTGAACCTGAGGCATATGTGGAGGGAATGGAGGAATGATCAAGGCAGGAATTTGTTAAAACTGAATAACATGCTTAGGACTCTCATGAAAGAGAAAGAAGACAGCACGTGAGAACAGTGAGTAATGTAAGCAGAGAGACAGAGATTATGAAAAGGAATCGAAAGGTTAGAGGTCAGAAACACTGAGGCAGACGTGAAGGATGCCCTTGATGGGTTTCTCTGTCATAGACCCAGGACCTCTGGGCTTGTGAAGATGACAGTAGGAACTTCCACAACTAAAAATAAATGAGAAAAGAAGCCTATTGGCGGGGAGTGGGGACAGAATATTCAACAACTGTGGGACAGCTACAAAAGGTGTAGCATGCATAATGGAAAAACCAGAGAAGAAAAACAAAAGAACAAAAGCAATGTTTGAAGTAATAATGACTGAATTCCACTCCCTCCCTGACAAAACAATAATGCAGGACATGAAACCACAGTCCAGGAAGCTCAGAGAG